TGCTCTTCTGGGCGCTCGTGTACGGCTACTGCGCGCTGTGCGCCTGCCTCGCGGCGCTGCGCCTGCTCTGCGGCCTCGCCCGCCGCCCCGGCAGCACCTCCCGCCGCGCCGTGCGCGAGAACCCGCCCGGCTGCCTGCTCGACCCCTCGCTCGGCACCCACTGCTACGTGCGCATCAAGGTGAGCCCGGCCGCAGCGCGCTGCCCCCTGCATGCGCGCGTGCTGCACGCGTGCCACCTCTGCATGCACGTGCGCTCCAGGGCATGCACACCCACGCATGTGTGCTGGCATCTGCCTGCAGCTACACTTGCATGAATGCAGCGCTGTGCAAGCACAGGTGCATGCACGTTGGCTCTGCTGCGTGGGTACATACATGTGCATGTATGCACACATGTAGGCATACATGCACACTCCCCTTGTGTGTGCGTGCATGCTCTCCTCTGCACGCACACTCTAATGTGCACACACATGTGTGTTAAGGCATGCTCTCCTGCACATGCATGCAGGCATGTGCACATACGCACCCAGCCATGCACATTTTCCTGCACCCATCTGGGGCCTTTGCTGCTGCGTGCAGGTGTTCGGGTTCGGCAGGGCTCTGCACGGATGTCCTGTGTCAGTCCTTAGGCCGCTCTCTTGAGTGTCACCCGGGCTGCGAGTCGTGAGCGCTCCCGCATGCGCAGGGTGCGTGTGCTTGCTCCTGTCCGCTTGGGCACAGAGCACACCACACGCTTTGTAACAAGCCATCTCTAATGAAACGAGCTCTAAGCTCTGGCTTTTCTGGGATCTGTGGAGGTTCCTTGGTGCCAAACAAAAACTTAGACTACTAGGGACCCCTGTTTCTCATTAATCTGCTGTGCCCCTTTCCAGCCTTGGTAGGCAGCACATGCAGCTCTCTGCCCTGAAGCTGTATTCTGCTTTTCTGTAGCACTGGACGTAAATGAGAAGCTGGCTGGAGACGTGAGGGGCTGGCCACAGATGGTGGCCTTGGTGTGGGGCTTGTGGTGTTGAGAGTGCAGCCTGGGCTCCCAGGGGAGCCGTGGAGATGGTATGGGCTTGGCCGCAAAAGTGCTCAAGGCAGGGGAGGATAAAGCGCACGAGTGATGATTGAAGGTGCATGAGTAAAGGGGACATCCTTAAAAGCAATGAATAGACTGCAATAAAGTCACTGAGGGTACATTCCTAAAGGACACCAGCTGCAGCAGTGGGAGCGAGAGGGGCTTTCTGGCTACTCCCAAACTGAGAAGCTGTGGAAGGAGGGAGAAATGGCTGGGCTCAAAGACAGAAGTGATGGGCAAGATGATGCAATGGCCCTGAAATTTACCACAAAGAGATCATTCAGTATTTAGAAACCGATATATACTGGTACCACTACCATCCACCATCACCAAGTTGGAGGGACTCCAGCTTCGCTGGCACTCCAGAGAAGAAATATCAGTATAACTTGGGGCACAACTTAGCAAAAAGTCCCTACTAAATCCAGAGAGAGTGTGAAAAGAAGTTCTGTTTTGAGAGCCCTGACAAAGGACCAAGATGTCAGTTAATGATTTTGTAGCTGGTCAGTGATTTAACAGTGCCAAGGTGGCTCAGAGAAATGAAGCGTCTGTGGCAAAAAAGCTTGTTTGTGTTTGTGACCCTAGATGTGGTGTAAGCTCTTAAGGTATAAGCAAAGGCATGAGTTGACTGTGTCCTTTTTTCCTGCCTTAAGTAGCAGGGACTGCAATCTGTGACATTTGTTCAGGAGATGTATGACCTTTCTCCTTGCAGTTTCCTTCACGTGGTTTCTAAGCAGCATGTTACGTTTTGTCAGCTAAGGCTTTTCCAACTTCTGTATCCACTTCTGTGCAAGAATTCAGTAAATCTTATAGGTCCTAATTTCATCTTATTTAAATTCTGCCTGTTTGACCTTGAGTTAATATAAGCTTTGCACATCCTTTCTTTTCAGTGGTGTTTCAGTGTTCAGCCTCTGGACCGCCTGCAATAAGCAGCTTCTAATGATTCTAATAGGAGCTAGGTCCTTAAATGATTCTAATAGGAGCTAGGTCCTTAAAAGGAGCCTCAGAAATAATGACTATAGACAGGATAGGAAGAAAGTGATTGCAGCCAGACCGTTTTGTTTGTTTGTTTGTTTGTTGTTGTTGCTGTTTTCTGAAACCTTGAATAGTAAAAATAAGCAAAACTGTTTCCTTTCTAGTTATGCTCATTTTGATCACTTTTGCTTTTTAAACCCCCTTGCAGCCCTTTATTATGCTAGATTGCCATGTGACATAGTTTTAAATGTTGCTATATTGCCATGCAATACAGTTTTAAGCGGCTGGCTGTAAATTGGCTGGGAGGATCGACAGTGCCTTTAAGGCACACTTCACTAAGTGTGCCCATCGTGTGGACCACGGGTGTCTGTTTGGAGGGATCTGTATTTCCTAGACATGAGTCCCACTGAGGCCATGCTACTGTGAATCCCAGTATCAGTAACAATCCAATGCAGCAATGAAAGCGCGTTTTTTTCTTTCCTTTTAGGATTCTGGGTTAAGATTCCACTATGTGGCCGCTGGAGAAAGGGGTAAACCACTCATGCTGCTGCTCCATGGCTTCCCAGAGTTCTGGTAACGCTCCCTACTTGCTTTCCAGTACAGAAGAGGCTTCCTGAGATACCTGGCAGAGGTCTCCCCACTTTAGGTGTCCCCAGGGGGATCTGTTGTATGTAACTGTGCACACCGATGGTATTAATTTGGAGGAGGGCACAAATGACTGAAATTGTTTTTAACTGCAGCATCCAGAAAATAATTCCTACAGCCTAACTCAAGCCAACCATCCTTTTTCTCCACTGCAAAGCCATTTTTTCCCCCAAGGATGTGCACTTTTTCTTCATACTTTGAGGAGGAATTGCTTGTTTTTGATTAATTTCTTCTTTGGAAAAAAATATTGTACTTTTATCATTAAAATTAGGAACGATAGAGGGTACTAAAATGAGAATCCATATATATTAGGCACAGTATGGATTGCTGCATTTGTTAAAAATAATATACATGAGGTTTTAACTGGAAAAGGGGGAGATGAACTCCACGTTCTCCAGTTGTGCACAGCCCCGTTTCAGAGAGCTGTGCAGGGAAGAAGGCTCTATTATTAGTTCCTCGAGAGATGACTGATGGCATCTGCAAGACACAGGGGGATAAGCAGTGAATCCAAACAAGCCCAAAATGTTTGTTTACAGCAGTGGAAAGCAGTCATGCGGCTGATGTTTGAACCAAATTGCTTTAACTATTGACAGATTTAGCCAGTCAAACGTGGGTTACAGAACTTGTACCTTAAAAATCAGTAAGGAAATAGAGGAAGTGGTGGTGGCAGTAATTCAGCAACAATCCTTTTCCATTCAAAATTCAGCTGTGGAGCTAGGCTCCACTCTTGGAACTGTGACCTTTCAACTGGCTTCAAGTCGCACTGTGTTGATCTGACCCAGGCAAAACAGAGGTCAGTTCTTTTCCCTCAGCATTTTCCTATAAATACTAAAGGCATTGAGGGTGATGGTAAAAAAAATGCACGGATATTTTTAGAGAAATTTTTGAGGAAGCAGTTTTTTCTAATAATAGCTTGCTAGCTAATACGATAAAAGATGTAAACAGAGATTAAAATCAGCCAGGTAGATTAGGGGAACTTTGCATTTTCTATGTAAAATATATGCATATCTTGCATAATGTATGTTCTAACACAAAAAGACGACTGAGAATACAGATAATTTCCTCTACAGTGGGTATGATATGCAAGATCTAGGATTTTATATACATATTCTACTGAGATTCAATATATTGTTTCCAAAATTCAGAAAGCCATTTTTACATTTTAAAACCATGAATCATGCTTTAAATGACAATGTATTGCATTATATTATCCAACAACCCAAATGGAATGGAATAATGAATAAGAAACTTGTATATAGGTCACTGCTACCACCAATAGCTCCTTTAAAAAACAAAAAGACATGCAGATAGTTTATAAAATAGGTACACTACAAACACCGATGCTGTATTTTTATTCCATCCATGTAGAACATTTGTATGGAAGAATTGAGATTGTTTTGAGAGCAAAGAATAAAATAATGACAACTAAGAGCTATTTAAATCTGTATCAAATTTGTACTGCTTGGCTGGAAAAAAAGAAATGGGTATGTTTCATTGCTGCAAATCTTAATTACCAAATCCTCTGCCTTCAAATGTCTCAAGGTTATAACTAGAAGAGCTATAACCAGACAATACTGACCTTGGTGAATGATTGCCAGTGTCTTAAGGCGAAAGAACATTTAAGCATAGAATGCATTAGAGCCATTAAGAGCCTTAGATGCCTAAGAACTTGAAAATCAATACCAATTTTATAGAAAGACAATATTAAAATACTTCAAAGTGGGCATAATGGGAGATAGCTGGCTCTCTCTGTATGGATGTGTGCGAGCTGTTGAGTTTTGTACTAGCTTCCTTCCAGAAATAGTGTGATCAGAAAGTCGTAAAATAGTTTCCATTAATCAGCCTTATGAAAACAAAGGCATTTACCCACTTTTCCAAATCCTGCTTGGGAAGCAGTTGTCTGAGTAGCATGCTCTATATGCGCTAACAGTTCTGTGAATGCAAATAAAAAGACTTACCTGAACAGTCGGACATGTAGTGATTGGCAGACTATTGTGAAAACAGCCTAGGGAGAGAGCAAGTTGGCATGCTTCTAGAAACAAAAATATTTATTTATTTATTTATGGGCCTTGGAATATATATGGAATATATATGATAGCTATGACGGTTACCATGGCAAACTCTGCTTCCAAGTTGATGTATAATGACTTCTAACATTTAAGTCCCGCCGACCTGTTTTAAATCTTATATTTGCACTACATGGTACGGAAACAAAAAGGTAATGACTGTTTTGTTTGCCTGAATATAGTAATATTGCTTACACTAGATTCAAAAACCCTAATAGACTGGAGGCAAAGCTAAAGGGGCAGAGACAAAGATCTAGTATAAACACAGTTTGAATTAAATAGAATTTCGTGCCTTTTACTGACAATAAGTGATGATCCAATAGCTTTATAAAATTTCTGGGAGATTTTTGAAACAAGGCCAGAAGTAAGAGCTAGATCCAAGCAAAAAGAAATTCAGCCATTGTTATATTTGCCTAGAAGGATGATGTTTTTCATGTATCTTTAAATTACGGTATAAGAAAATATTTTTACTTTCTTGGTACTGGCTAATCACAGTTTTAACTGATTCCAAAAACAGTTAAAGGTTAGATAGTTCTTGCACGTCAGGTTTGCCATTTTTGTATTCTTTTAGTTTTATATTGCATTTATCCATTCACTACTTACTAGTACAGAATGAGGAATATCCTAAGCTTTTGCCCGAGTTGCTCGTTTTGCTTGTCTGATTTCAGTGTACGTAATTTTATCCTTCTTCTCCACAGAAGCACAAGCAATGAAATGCTTTGTGTAGTATCAACACATTGAGAGATTGCTCTGTAACAATTCTGGTGGTATAGAGAACACACATAAAGTAGTAATAATATAAATCATATATTGACCAAGTTAACCAAGCAGTTGACCAAGTTCCTTTGTTACTGTATTTCTTTCTTGAGGTTAATTATTGTTTGTCAGCCCACATAACTCACCTTCAGCTATTTGGGAGCAGAAGGATTGACTGCATTTTGCTAGCATGCTGCTTGACCTTACATAACTCCAACTTTTTTTTCCCCTTTGCTAGGTATTCTTGGCGCCATCAATTGCGGGAATTTAAAAGCGAGTATCGAGTGGTGGCCCTGGATTTGAGAGGCTATGGAGAAACAGATGCTCCTTCTCATAAAGCATATTACAAGTTAGATTGCCTGATAACAGATATAAAGGACATTTTGGAATCTCTAGGTGCGTTAGTAGAAAACAAAGTGCTCTATTCAGACTATTTAACTTTCTGGAAAAAAGACATGAATATCTATGCTTGAGTTTTAAAAACTGTGTTCTCTTTAATAGATACACATTATAGATACATATATAGAGGGAGAGATAGTTAATGATTCTCCTATCTCATGGATTACTATCAATGTCAATGAAAAAGATGTGTTTTCATAACCTAGTGTAGTATAAACAATAGGTAAAGACAATTTCCCATCATGAGTTTTTTTTCAAAAAATCTTCTATGTGTGCTGTGAAATCCAGCAGCACAACCTTGAGATCCCTTTTTCCTGACTAAAATGTTCTTTACTTATTTGTAATGCTTGCACTTGATGAATATTATTATGAATTAGAGTCTAAGAGCACAAAAGAATTTAAATCAGGTGATTTTTTTTTCTGTCATGTACAGTATGGAATAAATATGCTGGATTTTGTAAAAATGATGACAGTACATATGCTGTATTAAGAAGAAGAACTAAAAAAAAACCTAAATCCCCAAATATTACTCCTGCACAGTAGTTCTCAAGAACGGAATCGCTCTGTCTTACATAGCTATGTGGAGAAGAGAATGAAGAACACAGGATATTTTGCTCCTTGTGACAAATAGACTAAGTGAAAGCCCAGAACAGAAGCAGGTCTGCAAAATTTGCCCCTCCAGCTCAACAGGAAGCGTAGCTGTTCGGGAGATAAATTGTTATCACCCAGTGAAGATTATTTTCCTTCTGTGCCAATAGCAAGACAAGGAATTAGACTGTTGCTCTCTGAATCATTTTCATTCCCAGGATGCTCTAAGGACAGCGAAAATACTAACTGCATTTCACATAAAGAAATGGCAAAGCAGTGATGCAGTCCTAAGGCTTGAATATAGGATTTGCGTGCGAGGCTTGAATATTGCCAGAAGACGAGGCAGGCAGTCCCACACTGTGTTTACAGTTTCCAACCTTCTCTGTTTCTGCTAATTTCCATGGCAATGCCATAGTTCTGCTTGTGAAGTGCTGTCTTCATAATGCAATTTCATAGCGTTTAAAAAAATCTGGAAAAGCTATTTCTGAGGCTTGTTATCCTTGTTCTAAACCCAAGGCAAATTCTTCTGGAGAGCCTGATTATATCAGAAGTGCTCAAAAAGATTTCCACTTAAGAGGTGTTTAAAGGTGGTTTGACAACTGTGTCCAAATTCCTGTGTCAGAATTTGAAAGTATTTGGCTTTTACACATGTGATTTGGCATGTGTCTGCTCAATACTGCCATATTCAATGAGGAATGTGATGGCCTCTGACATACAAGAACAGGTATTCCAGGACTAGTTAAAGGAACGGTCAAGCTTTCAAAAAGTCAGGATTTTTCTCCCTGTTACAGTAAAACTCCCACTTCCATCAGTAGAAGGATGACTAGGTTAATACCAAGAATTTTATAGACTGTCTTGTAGCCTACTAAGTATATATAAATATGTGTGCATACACACAGACATTTTATATGCATTATATATATATATAAAGTAATACTTTATATGTAAAATATCACTATGGCTTTTAACTCCCTTTTTTTTCCATAATAATGATGTTTCATACTTAGTTTGCCTCCCATATTTAAACTAATTCAGACAGCTCAATTTTGTTCAGGAGGGGCTTAGATCTCACAGTCTTTCTGCCTGCAGTTTCAAACTCCAAACCCTCCAAACATGACAAGGGTGCAAGCATTATAAGAACTGCAAGTTGAACTATGCATTTGACCCTGTGTTAGCTGAGATTTGAACAGTGTGGCCATTTGGATACATGAATGTCTTGTTTGACATTAACCTAGTATGGTGAAAGTGTAATCGAAGCCAAATTAAATCATTTTTAAATTTTGTGTTAAAATTTTAACAATAACAGTGCACTAATTTTTCTGGCCAGTAGTACTAGAAGCAGTGCAGTATGAAACAGCAATGTTAACAAATGTGCTGAGCCACCTGTTTTACCTGATAGTCGTTGTATGTTATAATTTGTACGGCTGCACATGTCACTGAAATAAGGTTCGAATCCGTGTTTCTGTGCAGGCTACAACAAGTGTGTGCTGGTTGGCCATGACTGGGGAGGAATGATCGCTTGGTTAGTGGCCATCTGTTACCCAGAAATGGTGACTAAACTGATTGTGGTTAATTTCCCTCATCCTTCTGTGTTCACAGGTGAGTTTTATATCTTATGATTTTATGTTAATCAAGAATATTTGTATTTTCATTAAGATTTTGTTCTCTTTGAAGGGATTTGAAGAGGAACAAACTACTTATTTTAGTAACAGCAGATCAGGAGATAAGTTGCCAATATTCAGTGCCTCTCACAACCTGGACTGTATTTCATGAAATATTAATGTATCATGTTTTAATTTTGGAAATAATTTATTGTAGGAAGTGGTAGTACTTGCAGGCAAGCTTACTTTTTTTTTGGTGTTAATTCTTGAAGGTCCAGAAACCTATTTTTCTTATACATAAATCTCTTTTACATCACTCTGGGCAGGATAAAGTTCTCTGACCATGAATATGTATTGCACTACATCTAGGTTAAGGCCTCACTGCAATATTAGAACCGTATAAAAGAGCCTCTCTACAGGAAGTGAATGAGAATCAGATTTTTAGAATTTAATCCTGATTTATGTGACAAGTGAAACTTTATGATTTTGTACAGCATCCGTTGGAACAAGACAACTTTTCCAGGCTATTTCTAGAGGCTCTGGAACATAACACTGAGATGAAGCAAGGATTCGGGTACACGAGTAGAATTTGTGGTGTGACAGGCTTTGAGCTTGTCTGCTACCCAGACTTGCAGAAGATTTCACAGAGATTAGATCTACATTCAGTATTTTCTCCCTGCTAGTAGTAGAACGCCCACTTTCACTAATTTTAACTTCTTTAATTGCCAACCTCACCCTTTTTCCATTAAGATGGCAAAGAATGTTTAATGAGGCTTTATTTTTCATCTCTAGTGAATCTAAATGTGACCTGTCCTGGTGTAAGGTCACTTGGAATCAGAACCATTCACACTTACTGCTCGCAAGGTGTTCTTGGCCACCTTTCTAAGACACTATAAAGAACATTTTGATGGGTAGTTAAGCCTCACTTACCACAGAAGGGCTCTGTTCACCACCACTGCAGCAAGCAGAAGCTTTTACAGTATTTTTCCTGAAAGCAGGAGCCAGCCTGTATAGAAGCAGAATACATTTTACTATAGACTTCCTTAGCATTTGTTCTCATACTTGATAAAGTACTAAATCTGTTCTGTAGCTGCTTATAGATTGTAATTTTTAACATATTATTTTCTAGGATGAAATACAGTTTGTTTTATTTTTTATTATGCATTCAGTTCCATAGTAAGTAGGAGTTAAAGTACACTCAGCCATTCCTAAGGAATTACGTACTTACCGTACACCTTAAATTGCTTGATCTTCGGTCTTATGCCTTACATATCACTACTTTGTGCAAACTATAATCACTTAGTCAAATTAATGCATGTCATTTCTTGTTGTTAACTGATAGCAATTACGATACTAGATTTTCAGTAATTTCTTCCTTAGGTTTTCCATCTCAGGATTGCTTGACTTCCCACTGCATTCATATGTCCTAACATCAAAGATCTGTGTTTATTAATTATGCTCAGCAGTGAAGTGGGGAAATCGACCTGTTAGAAAATAGTTAGGTTTTTTTTCAGTATTAAAGAGAGCTCTGAAGCCCTCCTTGCAGAATTAAAACATTGAACAAAAACTTTAGAAATCAGACGATCCAGAAAATACCTCAGCTTGCTAACACATTAAAACAGTAAAGTAAACATATTAGCAACATATTAGTGCAGAAAAGTCAAGTGAGTGGTGCTGATGATGGTCCTTCAAAGGAGAACAGTAATGGCTGATGCAATTTAAGAATGTATAAATTATGAATGTTTAGAACATAGCTGAGACTTAATTTTTCTTTGTTTTAAAACCTATTTTCTTTTCTGTCAAAATTAATGTTTCGGAGTTGTCTCCTCTTTTGGGAGCGAAGTGTTGCCTTCCTAAATTCGCATCTGTAAAGGGCAGGTTCTAGTCTCCTACCCAGTATCTGCCTAGGTTCTGTCCTTGCTCCTAGGCACTTGGATATGTGAATGTCAGTGTTGGCTTTTGCAACTCATTGGAGACACAAAATTACAATTTTGAAAGAAGAGAGACTCAATGTAAATTCCACTTCATCATTTTTTTTGTTTTATATGTCTTCAATGTCTTTCAAAAGTGACGCTCTGTAATCTTGATTATGGATCTCGAAACTGCCAGGGAAGAAGACTGTTAGAAAAACTGTGTGCTTTCATGAGCAGAACTGATGCTGTCTTTAGCAGTGTAAGTGGATTATCACCTATGGATTCCTATGCATCACATTTTTGATAGGAGAAAAACTTAAAAGATGGAAGAAACGGTTAAATTTATACCCTTGTTATTTCACAGCTGAAAAAACCCACTTTGGACTGGCATCACTAGGATCACAAATAGAATTTAAGTGAAAACTTATCAGGCTCTGAAACCCTTCAGTGTTGCTACTCTCACCTAATCTTTGGCAGGCTTCTGTTTTGCTCTCTGTTTTTACTAAGGCATAAAAATAAGTGTGTTTTAATAGCCACATCATATGCTTACTTCTGAAACAATAATCATCTTTTGTCACATAGCATGTTCTAACGTAATACTTTTAAAACATTCCTTTAAGTTTAAAAAGTAGTGATATTAACAGTAATTTTGTTTGAGTCATCAGTTTTCATTTTTAATTCATGGACATTTTTGTTTCAGAATACATTCTACGACATCCATCACAATTGATTAAATCTGGTTACTTCTTCTTTTTCCAAATGCCATGGTTTCCTGAATTCATGTTTACACTAAATGATTTCAAGGTGAGCAAAATGAGTGCTCTTGTTTATATATTGAACTGTGAGTGATGGAACAATTGCCACCTGCATTAATTCTTTCTGGTTTTACTATATAACTATAGTTACTGGAAAAAAATGAGACATTTTCTGTTTTTCCTTCAGCTTTATATACTTCTTTTATGCTACTAGTAATAAACACACTAATACAGCTAATACATATGCAGATAGAAATATTTTGCATTCTTTTTGTAGAATATAAATATTTAGTACCCTCTTTGTTGGATGCACTCTTGCTTTGGCTTTTCTGGCCAGTGCTCAGGGATGTACTTCTAACCTACAAGCCTGTAGAGCATTTCTCCTCCTAGGCAGCCAGCTGGCTGCATGTGACCTGTGTCCATGGCAGCGGGACACATTTGGTGCCTTTGGATCTCCTCCCGACTTTGCCGAAGCTCCCTGATGCCTGGGACATCCCCGTCCCTCACTGTCTGCCACAGGGCAAGCAGGCCACCAGTCCAGTTACACACCTCTGCCAGGTGATCAATCCTGCCCGAGGAAGCAGTATCTCATGTAACCTTTGAAAACAAACACATGGAAGGAGAAGAAAAAGCACCTCGCATCCTCCCACGCTGCAGCGTGGCCTGCCAGGGGAGCGCACGGGGGGGACCCTGCCTGGGCAGCCCCTGTCGCACCCTCCGTCCCACGCTCGGCTGCTGGGCTCCGTTTCAGGACAAATCTGTGCATTAAACTGCCTTTGCCCATCACAGGTGACAGGGCAGGACCCAGAACTGAGTAACTTGGTAATGTCATGTGGATATTTGTACGTTGCTGTTCTGAGGTAAATTATACCAGAGATAAGTGTATTGTATACTTATAGCTCTCTAAAAACATTTGAGCCATTCATTATATTCCAAAATCTATAGATAAGTTTTAGAAAGATGTGTCCTGTTGAAGGAGAGAAATAGCATTTTCTAGGTATCTTAGGTCGTGGCTTTTTATTTTTCATTTTCTAGATTCTGAAAAACTTATTTACCAGCCAAGCCACTGGAATTGGAAGGAAAGGATGTAGATTAACAGCAGAGGATGTTGAAGCTTATCTCTATGTCTTTTCACAACCTGGAGCATTAACTGGACCCATTAATCATTACAGAAATATTTTCAGGTCAGTATAACATTATGAAACTAGTAAAATATTTTAGAGCCCTCTGGAGGCCCAAAATGATATTGCATCTTCTGCCACTAAGGTAGGACAGAAAAAGGCCAATCTGCTCCTGAAGTCTAAAGAGCCCACAGATGCATTCTGTGTCAGGCTGCATGAAGCAAAGTGAATTATATAGCATATCCACAGTGAAACAAACAGTGTGCTGATGAGCAAAATGTGTGTTTCAAAATCTAAGGAGGCAAAGAAAGACCCTTCCTCATTCACAGAGCTAGAAGCAACCACAAAGATCCATCCCTAAATGATAATAATTTGATGTCAATTAAGTGTTTGTGTTTTGGCCTATACTGGGTGATAAGGTCTGTGAAGACCAATGGGATCCAACGAAGTTTCCCTTGGTTTTTGTTTTTTTAATCCTTTTATAAAACCCTGTGTCGCTCTAATTTTATCATGTTTCAGTTGGCTTTTATGAAAGGTGATTAGGTGACTTTTCTGGTGGTTTTGTCACACGCTTGGTTAAGATAGAGGTAAGCAATTAAGTGCAAATTTTTTTCTGACACACCATTTTTTAAAGATGGGATTACTGTTACATGTCTGGGAATACTTCACTAACACAGAAAAAAAAATGATGGTCAGCAGTACCATATAGAAAGTTTGAACCTGTTTTACAAAGACAGACCTAACAACTGGAACTTCCCTTTCTGAATGTGAAATTTGCACATTCATGCTCATTACAAGATATTTCTAGAAACTTCAGACACAATGTTCCATACTCCAGACTGAAATGTAATGTTCCTCATAGGCAGTGATAGGTGTAAAGAAACTGGCTGAGTTTTCCTAAGCAAGGCTACAAATTTTGCACAGCACTTAGTTACCAAAGAATAGTACTAAACTGTACTGTAGTGAAAAAATATGTATACAGTATAAATAGTGAAGAAATCCAGGATACTTAGAAAGCTAAAAGGTAAGGAGATTAGTCTAAGTATACTAAATACACTGAATCAGATCATCAGATTATCAGTTCTAACAATGATACTATGAATAAGCTATAGGTCAGTGTGCTCAGTCACTTAGTCTGAAAAATGAGATCTAAATCCTCTATTACAAGAGCAGCTTTGAATTTTCCTAGTTCATCATTCAAACCTGAGAGAGCACATATATTTTACCTTTACTTTTAATACATTCAGTCTGTTCAGAATATTGAATACACAATGTTGAACTCAAAAAGAAAAGGTCAGACTTTTATTTATATGACTGCTTTTCATGGTTAGCAATCTTTCTTATGAAAACAGTGATTTTAGAATTTAAATATGTAAGAAATGATTTCACAGGAAAAGAATGAGAGAATAATCTGTTCTCCATGTATCTACTGGATAAGATGAGCAATGGTTTTAAATTTTCATGAGGACATTTCATAGTAAACATTGGGAAAAACTTTCTAATAGTAAGAAGAGGGAAGGATTCCCTTCCCAGAGTTATGGCATTGCCATCTTGGTAGTCCTTAAAGAAAAACCAAGATAAATACCTTCAGTAGGTTGAATCCACTTTAGGGCAAGAGAATTAGTTTTTAAGGTTTCTCCTACTCAGTATCTACATTTTTTTTCTTTAAGAAACAAACACAAGGATAGGAAACAAGAAGAGTGTATTTACATCAGAAAACTTGCAGTTACATCATAAATTGTCTATATGTCTTTTGCTTAATAATAATATTTATTGGAATGAAAAAGAGCTTAAAACTGCCTTTTTCTTTAACCTCTGGTTGGTATTTACTTTCTTCAGTGAGGATTATAGTATGGCATGCAGGTTAGTGCCAGCATCACACAAAGTAGTTGTTAGGTAACATGCAGAGAAAGTGTTAAGAAATTTGGAGATTCATTCTAATAAATGCTTACCAATATATTATTGTCAGAACTAACTTGTAAGTGATTAAAAACAAAAGCTCTGGACTGTGATGTTGAGGTTTTAAACAGATTACTACTGTGCAGCTTTTTAGGAAACAGTTTTATTTCATTGCATACAGATTTAGGTATGCAAGTTCAAGGCCGTCAAAAAGATACTGTGTCTGTCTGTACTAGGAACTCTGATGCACTTTGATTTTAGAAATCTCATAGAAGAGTGAATGTGACTGATTTCAGCACTGCAGACATCAGTGTCCTATTGAGAGTTCTTTTTTTTCGATAAATATTTGTACTTTTAGCCATATTGCTCCATATTTAATTTTGAGCGGAACTGAGACACTGTAGTCGATACCTTCCACCATGTATTTTAAAGGGGCAATAAAATAACAGCCTGCCATTTCCTGGATGAACACTCAGGAAAAATGATTTTTTGAGAAAGTTGTTTTGACCAGTTGGATAGTAGGATGCCTTGAACACTGTATTCTAACCATGATGCAAAGCATCATGTTTTATTAAAAGCTATTTGGAATAATTAATACAGATTCTGGAATTTGCCATAGCATTCATCAACCAAAGTAAAATTACTGATCTACAAAATTCTGCCCATGTTATTCTGCATTCCCTTTTGCAGAGGTCATAGGGTCCCTGAATTGCACATCATGAAGAAGCATCATTCAGATTCCAAAAGTAAGATGTTGGTTTGCAGCCAGCTCTTGATACAGACATGCTACAGTGAAAGTTAAATGTTATTTTCCTTATAAACAATAAAAGGACTTAGATTCATATGAGTATTTTTGTAGAATATATCTGGGAACCTAGATAAGGTTGCACTGAGTTAGGGTATGTTGATTTCAAAAGCCAAGTTGACTATATATATATTTTATATATATATATATATATAAACAAAACTAAGCTGAATGTATTTTCTTTTCAAAGTTGCCTACCTCTGCAGCACCATGAAGTTGTCATGCCAACCCTGCTGTTATGGGGAGAGAAAGATGCATTTATGGAAGTTGAGATGGCAGAAATGACACGGATTTATGTTAAAAATCATTTCAGATTAACTATTTTGTCCGAAGCCAGCCATTGGCTCCAGCAGGATCAACCTGACATAGTGAACAAGTTGATATGGACCTTTCTAAAGGAAGAGACAACACGAAAGAGAGAATGATATTTGTACATGTTTTAAGAGGTCTACATAGAAGCTCTTCAGATTTAAAAACTAACTGTTATCAGGGCCATCTTTCCAGCCTGCCTTCTATTCTGAGCTCTGTTAGAGAAGTGTTTTCAATGTACTGTACATTTGGACACTGATGTTACTGCTAAAACAAGAAGCGAGTATGAGAATATATGATACCAACATTGTTTTTACTTGTATACTTGTATTTTGCACATAAAAACACCTGCCTTAAGATATATGTATTTGTACAGAAAAGTCATGGAAAGTTGCTTGGTTTTGTTTTTTCACTTGCTTTACAGTTTTAATGTGTGGTGCCTTTTAAAATTTATAGACAATGGAGTGGTGCCATACAGAAAGGAAGCTATGAGTTTTCATTGTAGATTTGCCTGGATTTTTTTACTGTATTTTACCATTAAAACACTTACTAACTCTTTTTATTATCTATATTTTAGCATACTGAGTGACTGAACAATTTCTGGGCACATTTCTAGTCTTCAGGTGACCAACGATACATACCTTGTTGTACTGTTGAATGCAGCTGCTTTGTGCAATGTGTTTTCTTGACTGAAAAACGGGAACCTGTACACTCAACATGTGTGAACAAGAAGAATAGAAAATTAAGATCTGTACTTACACCTTAAGTATCAACTTCACCCCTGTCTAATAAAACGCAACTTACA